CCATGCCTCTGTCCTATGCCCACCCCAGCCCCCCCCCACCATGGGGGGGAGGCCTTGATCTGCACCCCCATACCCCTTCCCTTCCCCCTCCCCATCCGACTTACCAGCTGGAGGCAGCTCTCGACACTGATGGCTCTGCTTTGTGCTGCACTGCAGCTGTGTGCAACGCAGGCATTTATCAGACAAATTGTCGGGCCGATATCTGATTATAGACAATTTTCTTTATTATATCGGTACTGATATATTGGTGCACCTCTACTAATAAGCATTGTTTCAACTGCTGATTTTCATCCTAAACATAGCCAACAACAAGGGACCTCTGCATAACTGAATCACCAGGAAGCTTAAGGGTAAAGATATGACCTTCCATTCTGCTGTCCAAACCTAATTCTCACATCTGCAAATAGGTCAGGAAGGCTATTGGGTATCCCATTCACTAGCTGAGGCTCATAGCTCATGCTTTCCCTAGGATGAATATACAAACACAGTTTGAAGTAAGAGCAGCTTCTCTGGTGTAGAGGTGTGGTCCAGTTGTAGAGACATTAGTTAAAGCTTACTTAAAGGATGGCTGCTGTCTTTGCTGGCATGTATATTATGCCCTCAGCATCTTTCATTTGGTTTTCACCTTTGGGGGTAGGGCAAGTGGAACTGTACTGATTTAATGAGGAACAGTGACCATAAACACAGCTTATGGTCAAAGTAGAAACAGATTCCTGAACTGTGGCTGCATCTACACGAGATGCTTACTGAACAGTAGGTCATTACTACTGCACAGTAGCATCATTGGGCACAAACCATGATGTGGTACTACTGCACAGTAAGCATCACTAGGCAACCATGCTGGGATACTACTGCACGGTAACAACTGCGCAATGGGCATCTTGTATAGCCATGCCCCGTGAGTCTCAAAGTGTAAAAGTAAACACTCACCCAGAGGTTAATAAGCACTGTTAAAAAAGCAGCTTCTACCTTCCTTTAGGGACTTGGGCATGCAACAATCCATCCTCAGCAAGATTCAATTTTTATTACAGGTGCAACTTTAACATTCTGCTTTGGTGGGTGAGACCAAGCACTTGGCCTGTGCAGGATGCCATGCAGAGATATTCAGGCTAGTTTGGGTAGCAGAAAAAGAATCACATTAGCGTGGCAGTCTGACTGGGACTGCAGGTAGTGCTTAGGTAAATCTTTGTACAACCCTGTATAGAACTGGCTAGGCCCCCCCCCCTCCCTTGACTGGGTAGCCCCCCCCCCCCCCCTTGACTAACCATGGTTTTGATAAAGGAAAAAACTAGTCTTTTCAGCCTGTTACAAAGTAATCTCTGCTTCAGCAGTGACCAGCCTGCAGCACAGGTGTTACAAGAGGCACAGGCAGCTTTTGTGTGTGGCACACAGCAGTAGGACAGAAAGCAGAGCAGCAGATCAGTCAGGGAGCATCAAGGTAGGATGTAGAGTAGCAGACTGGGTAGAGGAAGAGGATCAGAATGGCAAGTAGAGGGTGCCTGGCTAATTGGAGGCATACCTGCCAAAAAGGTTGCT